ATACTCCTTTGAACAGTTTTAATCGATGTAACAGTATCCTTAAATTCTTCCAATATTTTCACTGTTTATTATATTTTCTCCTATCAATTTTTACAATAAGTGCATAAAATCCGCTGTCAAATCATAACTTATATAAGTTATAAGCAATAATATAATTTAATAATATAATATAATAAATAATAATATAATTTAAAATAATATAATATAATATAATATAATATAATATAATACGTAATAATATAACAAGTAATATAATAAGTATAATATAATAAGTAATAATATAACTCTTATATAACTTAAATAAGCTGCACAGATAGCTATAATTTATTTGGAAAAATTTGGCTCGATTTAGGGCCAGAGTGCAAGGTACAGCGTTACCCATGTGTGGCCCGACATCGTCGAGCAATTTACCGGTCGGCCCGAAAGAAAAGCCTTGTAAATGTCCCCTGCTCTTTTCTAATCATATTAGCATATCTGGGTGAACCGCGGCCTCAGCAGCGATTGTACAGATACGCAGCACCAGAGGCCATTTCCTTTTATCGTTGTTGCGGACAGAGCGACAAATGCCGTGTAAGTGCCACGCGGATATGCGACTGTCGTAAGCTCTCCCACTCGTTCGCCGCCACGTTCGCCTCTGTTTCTCCGATCCAGCAGATCCCGTTCCTGTTCTGCAAGCGGCGCTCGATCGATCCACCGATCATCAGTCATCGTCTATAGATCGATTCTCGATTAGCCGCACTTACGAAATCGATGTCATTCGGCTAGGAACATCCTCGGACACCCACGCGAAATTCTAAGATCGGTGAAGTTGAGCCTGCTCGAAGACAATAAGCTTTCTCGACGCAGCTGCTTCCGAGGGTCGACTTTTTAAATTTTTTTTCCGGGAAGGCCGATCGAGATACCGCTTCGAGACTTTGCAGATTCGTTCAAGCATCTTTGAACATGTTCGTGGAATTTTCTCGCGTCGCTGTTCACAAAATCGTGGAAGTTATTCATCGATAAATCGACCAATAAAAATCCCACGAAAATGGCAGCAGGGCATAAAGTCGTTCGAAAAATCGACTCGAAGGCCAATGGGGATTCTAAACGATTTATGCGAGCATATCGATCTGCGAGTACGTTATTTATTTCTCGTGACCTTAAGCGACCTTGACGACCGTTGGCCGGCCACCGGTATCAAAAAATCCGCTCGAAAAATCCGTTTTCCAAAAGCACTGTACAATGTCCCAAAAAATGGCCACGGTAACTCGCATTGTTTGCGAAGGACGCTGTGTTTCGTGCCGGCGAGTTCGCCAGATAGAACAGCGACAGCTTAGAAGCGGTAACGGTTACTCAGCCGGCAGAAATTTCTTGAGAAAAAAAGAACGGGCCGGCCAGGCGTTAAAGGATTAAGTAAACGTTCCCGCATGCCATTCTCCGCCCCTCACCGCCGGTGACCGAGGAAAAACGACGCGGAGTTATCGATTTCTTCGACGGATTTAATTCGTCCGTGCCAATCGCGAACCAGAATTACGTCAGTGATCGCACATCGCGCCGCCATTTTCGGCGCACGGATCCGTATTTCGACACTGGCCGATCCTCGGAGGATAACCGTATCGACCTCGGAAGGGGGAGAAGAAGGGGAGACTGCCGGACGGTTATAATCGTCGCGATACGTGTCGCGCGACTTTATTCGACGGGACCTTTCTGGTACAGAAAGAATGAAGAGCGCTCCGTCGTCGTGTGTCCGACGCGAAAGTCCCGTGAAACCGTGACTTTTTCCTTCGCCCGATGCATATTATGTAACCTGTCCTTTCGATCGCGCCGGGGAACCTTTATTTCCCTCCACCGCCGACATCTGGCAAGCAGATCGTCCGCGATTCCTCTTTCCAGCACCGGTTAATTGAAAGATCGCGTATCTCTTTCTGTGTGTGTGTGTGTGTGTTCGGCTAATGTGCCCCGGCCGAGCGTAATTCGAGCCGCATTTTCTGCGATCCGATCTACGCCCCCGGGACCCCTTTGTTATAAACAATATCGATCGGTAAGCTACTTTAACCCATCGCGCTCGAACCGCGACTCCGCGGTGCCACTAACAATTGCTGCATCATTTTTGGAGCAATTTCACGCTGTAACTGTCGAGCCAGAACTATCCTAAATGAAACTGTGTATCGGTTTTTATAATAATTGAGATTAAACTTAAATCGAACTCCGCACGGTTTCTGTTATATTGTGTGGTTGATTGCGGAAATTTTAGAGTTAAGAAGTTGTCAAAATGTAAGTACAGTAATGTCTCCCTTACTGACGCTCGGGTTGTCCACAAAAATGGACAATTTTGGAAGAGAAGATACGATTGTTCGGGCCTTGTTGCTCGTTTTTTATGGTTATCGATTGTGAACAACTATAAAAACGAGTCGGAAGGTTCGAATAATCGTATCTCCTCTTCCCAAATTGTCCATTTCTGTACACAACCTGAGCGTCAGTAAGGGAGACATTACTGTATTGCACGAATAAATAAGTTCAATCTTATATGCGTGCAATAAGGAGGAAATATCTGCTGTAGAAGAAAATATCTTAGCTATAATATAATAATAATAATAAGTATAATAATAATTATTATAATATATATAGTATATAAAATATATAATAGTAATAATAATAGTAATAATAGCAATAAATTAACTGCAGATATTTACGCACCTTTATAAAATGCAATTAAACGCGGAAATTCGTGCATTTACGGTAAACTCGACTTTATAAAATGCAATTAAACGCGCATATTAACGAAAACCAATTCCATTACTATTCAGCGTTCGCCACAAAGAATTCTCCAGTCGATGTAAAAACTCCTTTCGATCTCCAGATTTTTAGAAAAGAATGTCTAAAAATGAGAATTTGCATAAAGATCCGCGGTCTACCAACAAGCAGCAATAAATAAGTAAATAAATAGAACANACACAACCTGAGCGTCAGTAAGGGAGACATTACTGTATTGCACGAATAAATAAGTTCAATCTTATATGCGTGCAATAAGGAGGAAATATCTGCTGTAGAAGAAAATATCTTAGCTATAATATAATAATAATAATAAGTATAATAATAATTATTATAATATATATAGTATATAAAATATATAATAGTAATAATAATAGTAATAATAGCAATAAATTAACTGCAGATATTTACGCACCTTTATAAAATGCAATTAAACGCGGAAATTCGTGCATTTACGGTAAACTCGACTTTATAAAATGCAATTAAACGCGCATATTAACGAAAACCAATTCCATTACTATTCAGCGTTCGCCACAAAGAATTCTCCAGTCGATGTAAAAACTCCTTTCGATCTCCAGATTTTTAGAAAAGAATGTCTAAAAATGAGAATTTGCATAAAGATCCGCGGTCTACCAACAAGCAGCAATAAATAAGTAAATAAATAGAACAAAAGCAGCGCCTAGATCAGATCCGATCGGACCAAAGTGATTAGGACTGGATGAGAACTGAAGTTCAGCCTGAATAATTGCAATCTCGATCCAGTTAGACCGGGAACGTATACCGAAGGATTAATTCGAACGGACTGAAAGGTTCAGCGATATATTAGATAAATATCGAGCCGCAATTAATTCCGTGATTCGCGGAAGGACTCCCCGCCGGCGCGGCGGGCAGCCGAGCGCAATTAGAATCACTCGGACGGAATGCCGTTTAACGGAATCGTCGATCGTGTAACGGCCGCGCGAAAAGATCATATTGAGCGTCGATGTTGCGCGGCGAGGTGCGGAGCGGGACGGAGCGGGGCGAGGCGGGGCGCGGGAAAAGCAAGAAACGTTGCGAAAGAAATCGGGCACAATACCTAAATCGATGACGAAGTGACCGGCCGGCCGGGCGGCCGCGGCCGGTCCGGTGCGCGGCACGAAAGAAACGGTGGACTATGCGGGACATAAATCACCGTTAAAATGCAGGCAAAAGCGGTGTCCGTAATTTTTCCGTATCCCCTGCGCCGCGCGGTGACACGTCGCGTCGGTCGCAAGGTTTATAGAGAAAGCAACATTTACATAAGGACTCTCGCGCGGTGCCGCGCCGCCGCCGGACTGGACAATTGAATTTTGAAATCGCGCGCCGGCCGCCTGCGCCACACCCACGATTACCCCAGGGGGTGCCACCTTGAACCCGGGCCCGGCCATATGATTAACGGCACGAAGGCGGTCTAATTGGCCTTCGTCCCCGGCGCGAACCGCGAAACGGTGGCTGGAACGCGCCGCGCGTTTCCCCCCGCGACGTACATTCCCAAGGTGACCTTCGGGCGGCGAAGTAAACGAGGTCGAAAACTGGACCGAGCCGAGGAAAAAACGCTTTGCAGCCTTCGACGAAGTTAGGCGAGGTCCCGGGTCGCACCCACGCCGTTCGAGCGCGTTATCGATGATCTAATCGACGGACGCGGAGAGAGACCGACCGGTCGCCTAATTTTGTATCTTTTATTTCAGCGACCCCGTTGCCGCAATCCGTGGTCTTATTGGCCGGGTTGAAATCGGGGGCATGCTAATGCCGAATTCTTTGCTGCCGTTCGGGGAACATATTGATAATTGACTAACGACCGTTCTCAGGACTTTTACTTCGGGCTTCGATCGCCATTCGGTAGCGGCGCAACAAAACGCTCTAGTTTCGATAAAAGGACATTGAGCAACCGATAATCACCGCGGCCCGGTTGCCGCGGCCGCTACGAAAGAACAATCGTATATGCGTGTAATTTTCTGGCTATGGGAAACATTGATTTCTTACGAAATTCATCGCCGGTAATATATAAACTATTATTTAGGTCCGCTGTTCGCTCTCCGTAGCGTCGCATCATTTGCGAAACACGGCGACGCTTTAGAGAACAGTGGAAGCTGTTTTATTTCCTGCTGTCCCGTGATTACGCGACGCTATGGAAGAAGCGCCGAATTTCTCTCCAGTCCACCACTGTTTCGAAACGTCTCGAAGCATGCGATGTTACCGAGGAAATGTTTGTAAATAAGTGTACAGACAAATTAGAAACACCATGATTTATTGTAGACGAGTAAAAAATAATCGATTAGAAATTCTGTACAGTGTATAATTAGCGGTCTAATATTATCAACGAAACAGCCTTAGACGAGTGCTTCAATATTTGCGTTGTCAAACAAATTTCTTTAGCACTATCAATAATATCTGATATTATTTAATATCGCGTATTTAATGAACAAGTCTTTCGCCTCAGTCGTCCTGCTCGACCACTTTTGCTTTGGCGTCTTTGTCTCGTATGTCGACTATGACCTGTGGATCGAACGATTCAGTTTTATGTTGCCGCAAGTCTTAACGGTACAAGTCACTCACTTTTCCAGGTGATTTGCTCTTAAGAATGAAGTCCATTGCATCGTTCACATTGTGCAGTCCGACAGTCATCGCGCAGCTGGGTTTAATCAGACCCTCCTCGACGAACGTTAAAATGTCGTCGCCCGCTTGGCTGATTTGTTAAAGAGAAAATATTTTGAAACGGTACCACCACCGGCTGATGTTATTTAAAATAATTTATGTACCGATATTCTTCCAGTTTCTTTTCCTTGTACTCTCTCAGACTGAACCCGGCCACGCAGAAACGGTCCAAATCGCAATCCGTCATGATCGCTGTCGACCCGGCAATGATTACCCGCCCTTCAAGAAAGTTGCGTGTCAATGAAATTGTATTAGAGTGCCGCGATGTGATTTTATCGACTTGTACCTTCGCGGGACAGGTGATGCACCACCACGGCGAAGCTGTCGTCTCGCAATAAGTCTTTCATTGTCGCGCCCTTTTTGTAGATGCCGGTGAAGCTAAAAACAGGACACACCTGCTGCCACTATTCGTTACCTGATCAGAGTCTCGCGTGAGAATCCCCGTGATTTTTTGCTTCCCGAATCTCCTGAGACACCCAACGACTTACCAGTTCATCACTTTCTTCAGGTGCTCACCATCGGCGTCGGCAAAGATTGCCTGGATGTCTTTCTCAGCTGCCAACTCCTCTAATTGCTTCATCAATTGCTTGTCTTTGTATTTCAAGCTCGCAAGGACCGAGCCTTTGCCTCTGGTCAAATCAGCCCCCTCTTCGGTGGCACAGACCCCTATTACCCGAGCTCTGTAAACATTTGTAGCAAGGTCAACCGCTGCCAGGCCAATGCTACTCATCCCCACATTGATTATAATTATGTCATCCTCCTGGAGGTTGACCTTGCTCTCTAGTGCAAGCAGTGCAGTGACATAGTCGTCGAGCAAACTGACCGTATCCTTGGTCTTCATCTCAGACGGTATTTTCCAGATGTCCTGGAAGGTTTGCGCTTATGATTCAATGTATAAAAAGGACGTACGGTTGAATGTGGTGGCTTACATCACAGTTTACTAAGCATTGTTCACTCAGACCTCCGAAGCAGTCTTTGTTGAGTGCTATCACCTTGTCCCCAACCTTGTACCCGCATTTCTTTGCGTCATCCCCAACCTGGAGTAGCTTCCCGACAAACTCTTGGCCTAGGATCTTTGGCAGACACGGTTCAAACGTGTACATATTCTGAGCCAGCAGAATGTCTGATGCACTTAGGGCGCAGTAGTGCACGTCTACGAGAACCTGGCAGTGCAAATCATTTTACGTTTTAGTAAAATGTATTAATTAGTCTGCGGTTTGGTCCGCTATGTATTCCCAATTTTCGAACTTACTTCGTTCGGCTGCGATATTTTGGGAGGTTCAAAGTGATCTACCACCAGCGGACTGCCGAAGTGTTTCAGCACTGCGGCAGAAATCGGAGAAGCCGGAGAGTTCACGGTGTCAGGGTTAGACGACCTACATTGTGCTGTGGAGCTGAACTTAATGGCTCTTGTTCGTATCGGATATTTCTTCAGGTGGTGTCTACAAAAATTTGTTAAGATCCTTCTGCCCACGGAGACCGACATTTTCGGACAGCAATTATTGTTTCGTAAACACGAGAGACACCATTACCGGGGTCACTGCGGTGCCTGGGCCAACCTAGTCATGGCACCATTGTCATCGCAAATGCGCGGCAAAATTCAAATACCGATGCAGTTAAGGTCTACATTTTGCTGTATCGATGAATTTAATATTTTTAAAAATTATTAGACACACGGTTGACTGCCTAACATCCTCAACAAAATTGCATGCAATCGCTTAGAATGAAAAATATCATTGTTAAAGGCTTACACTGCACTATGTATTAATAATTACAGCATTATAACATAAACATATGTGCAAACTTGATTCCGGGTACTTACCGATCACCAAATCTGTTGCATATCCAATGCACGATGCATTTTCCATTGAATGAGACGGGAACCGTTCCAGTGTGAATGCCATAGAGTCCACAGACAGAAATTAACTATGAAATAAAAAAGAACATAAATCTCTCGAACGAGAAAACGATACAAACTATATAATCACGTCGATAGAACGTTCAACAAATTTTTAACCAATCGACAGAACGAAAGTGTGTTGGTCGAAGGATAAGGAAATACAGTTTTTTCAAAATTGCCACAATCTAGCAAGGTGCAAAAGTGAACAGTTTCGCAACGTGGTGCAATTGTCGCACTCGACTATTTATGAAATCGTAACAACAAGTGACACCGACTTCGGACACATGTGACTCGGTTAAGTAACAATTAAATAAAATGATGCTCGTTTTCCATACCTTTTCGACAACATAAAAATACGCGGTAAGCGGCTTTTACCTTTCGCTCGATTAGTTTAATAAAATAAAAATATAAAGAATGCACACTGGACAGCGTACACGAGAAGACTTTCAAGAAGTTCGCGATTTATTTAAAACCGGAAGTGGTTCGAACACAAGGATGAAGTATGCTACCCCGACACCGTTTAAAAGGGAACTGATTCGCTCGATTTTTGTTTCTTGTGACAAAGTCGGGCCGCCCCACCAAGCTGTCGGCCCATTTTATTGCTATTTTTTTGCATGTCGCCCCCACTACCATACCAAGTCATTTTTTATTGCAGCTTCACCAAATTTCCACCGACAATGCTTCGAAGATATTCATTTCAACGGTGCCTGCAATTTTTCGTTTCGTTCAATTATTCGTGCAAATTTTAAAAACAAAATGCCTTCGTTTGTGTACAAAATTTTTTCGAATTCTATCAATCTGTGCTTCTAATTGATTAAATGGTATTTGTTAATTCAACGTACAATAGACTTAGTGAGATTGTTTCAGGGGCTGGTTCGTGGAATAATAATTGCGTTATTAGTTGGAAGTTTATTTCAAATTAATTCTTCCCCGCAGAACTGTAACATTGGTCTGTTAACATTAGTTTATTATTGCATGTGTTATTTTACATAAACTGAAAAAGAAATACATTCGTAAAGTACAAAGCATCTGAATTATATAGTCGTTATGTTAATATCGTTTTGCAATTGATTCGCCCTTCACTTCCTGCTATTTTAATGATCAGTACATGATTATATCTAACAACAGAGAATATGTAATAATTCGCATACGTCCTAAAGAATCGTGGAAAAGATTAAGTATAATGCGTAATACACTCGTATAATACAACGAATGAGAATGATCGAGTAGTAATTCGCCTTACATATTTCGTGAATTCGTTTCATTCATCTTCCATTTTTCCTTTTCTCCATGAACAATCAACAAATACGAAATCGTGGGAATCGAACGAAGTGGATGATGATGATGATGACGATGGATAATAATGATGATTATGATGATGATGACAATGGATGATGATGACGATGTTAACGATGATGATGATTGACGATGATGATGATAATGATGATGATGATCGCCGTGGTAACAATTTAGTGCAAGCGATGACGTTGAAGTGATCCGAATGAAAGAAAAAAAAATATAAATGAAAGATTTGCTCGTCGACAATGTTGTCCCATTCGTGTCAAGCAGTATGGCCAGCCGTACCCATCAGCACTATCACAAAACGTTAGTCGTCCCTCTCTTAAAAACGAACGCGAATCGTAGATATACTAAATTCCATGACCAGATTAATGTTAAAAGTATAAGACGGCGACGTGTATGACTAGTATGTTATTAGAATCGTTTGTTAAAAAAGTATCAACCCTCGGACGGCGCGGCGTTCTGGGCCCATTCCGGCCCAAACCTCCTATCCGTATAGCAATTATTTTTTTCCAGCAGCAGCCGGCTCGAATCGTTTAACCATTCAAAGAAGATCTAGTAGAATAATCGGCACTAACAGACGCGTGACGCAAGTTTGAAACTACGAAATTTCGAAAGTTCACCGGATCTAATTTTACCGGCCGCTGTGCAATTCGTTCGAATCGTACGCCTCGCGAGGGTCGAACTTGTTCGAAACTCCTCCTTGTTAGTTCCAATAAAACTAAACACTATCACGCTTAGAATACTTCGATTGCATGGTGTCTCATGTAAAAGGAAGCAACGGAAAAGCGTCTACATCAACGAAAATAATACACCCTTATACGAAAAATTTCGTCTCTTGAATGAGCACTACACTGCAACTTTGCACGATGAATTATCACGGTCCGATGAAAAACTCTAGCTACGTTTACATAGAATGAACATTTGTTGTTCCCCAGTCACGGTGACGTTTATGCTAGATCCTAAGAAAAACTTTCTTTTCACTTCCCGTTTGGCAGCATAGCTGAGGCTACAAGAACACATAACGTCGACAGAATTCGTCTACGAAATTTTCTCGCGTTAAAACATATCAAAACGGTTACTATGCATTCACGTTTTCGATAATAATACTGTGAATGTGTCTCTCTGTCTCTGTGTACGTGTACGTTTACTTTTTTTTTTTAATACTACCGCAGAATACCGAGATATTGCTGCCCACTGTTTTGTGTTGCACGTGCGTCGACTTCACGCACCGCCCCCATCCCCCACCCCCCACCCCATCCCTCGTTGTTAACAAGTGTAAGCGAGTCGCATCTCGTCGCGTTTATCGTCTTGGTTCAGTACAAAAGTCTCGATTACAAACGTTAGTACAAAAGTCTCGATCACAAACGTTAGTACAAAAGTCTCGAGTATGCGCAAAAACTATTGTTACCTTTCCGTCGCTTAGAATTGAAATTACGTTTAATTACGTTTAAATCTATGATTCTGGAATGCTGCGTTAATATAATACTTCTAATTCAACGTCGGTCGATGTTGTTTACATCAAAATGTCGTTTGTATCCATTCGTATGTAGAACTTCCGTGAGAGCGTGGCTTTACTCGGTTTTGTTGTGCAAGATTCAGTTCGAAAACCAAAGAGGAAGATACAGCGTGACGTGAACCAAAGTAATTCGAGGATCGTTTTTCGTCGAACACATAGCTTTCTGTATTGCGGACTCAATTTTACAAAAATCAAATCGAACGCCAACAAGGTCACAATGCGTTAGGTATGGCAGAGATGGGCCCGGGGTCCTCGGACCGGCGGCCTCACAGGCAGGGTGCCGGGGACCCCGGCCATCTTGGATTCTCGACTGTATAGACTCAACTTCACAAAATCTTGGACTTGAATGTATAGACTCAATTTCACAAAATCAAATCGAATATCAACAAGATCGCAATAAATAATGTATGACGGTGATCAATGGGGGTCCTTGGGACCTCGACCTCACCGATACGGTATGGGGACGCCAGTCATCACGAATTGGAATACATAGACTGAATTTCAAAAAATCAAATTCGACTACCAACAAGTTCACAACGGATTACGTCTAACAATGATGACTGGGGTCCTCAGACCCAACCTCACCAATGGGCGTGGGGACCCCAGTCCTACTAGCGCCTGGGATCCTCACTTTCATGATCGATATAGAATTATTCGCCCCAACAGCAGACGTCATTAACGTTGAAACACGTGAAATTCAATATTTCCAACCAATTTCGTAAAAATTTGTTTGCTACTACCTGGCAGTTCCCTGAACGCACGCAAAACTGCACCATTTTCCTATATAAAATCTGCGAAGGATCGACCGAATACAAGAAAACCACAAAAGAAAGGCTCAACCCCAATCGTGTTGTCCAATTCAATCAATTCCAACGTTTTTTTTTTCGTTTTTTTTCTCTCTTTTCTTTTTAAATTACAATCTAGGTTAAACTTAAATTCTGTCTAGGGACTCGATTGCCTCGCCGTTGGTGGCTATTTTACACTTTTTTTGTGGTTGATTGTACAAGGTTTGCAGTGGTACATGAAGCAGTTCCACGATTTGTATAAAATTAGGCTCTGCAACAAAGAAATTAAGCGATTAATATGGCGACCGTTACCAGATGCGGAGTGCTGGGATGGGGTACCCACCGTTCTCGGCAGTAATGTATCCGTGTCTGATTAAGAAATCGAGGGCGACCGGAACTGATGTGGTCTTGAAGTGCGAGGACAATATCCTCTCTAGGCATTCGTTGACTGGAAGCAGCTCGAAGGTCTCCACCTCGCCGTCGTTGTTGCTGGGCACAAAGTCTGGCGGCAGTTCTAGGTCGTAGACGAACTCGGTGTTCGGGAACAGGCCCCTTTCGCTTTCGAAGAACAACGACACGCAGCCGGCGCTCTTCAGCTTTGTAACGAGATTATTGGGGATGCTGGCCTCCTCCCCGGCTTCTTTGATTGCGGTCTCATTTATGCCGTAGCCTACGCTCAGTCCGCCGCTGACCATGTTGTCCCAGTACCCGGGCCAGGTCTGCTTGTTGGGGCTACGTTTTTGCAACCATATTGACAGACCCTTGACAGGATCATTTACGTATCCGTTAATGTCTACACCATACTTGCGAATTCCGAATAGACCTGAAAGGTTACAGTTCGTTTTCAACGACCGTACGTTCGGCGGATCTTAAATCGTTGCATTATCTAGTGTGCAACTGTTTCCAAGGATACATGCTATCGGTATGAGGTGCTATGGAGACGAAAGTGAGTTAAGGATGATAGATGATTGAAAGGAGACTTACATGTTGCAGATCGGTCCATTTTGAATAATGGAGATGTGTTGAACTGTGCACGTACTTCATAGCATTCCTCTCTCCAACCCCGCAGTGTTACAAATTTTCCGCCGGCCTGCCATTCCCTCAGGACTTCATCGACACGTGCACTTCTCTCGGCATAGTCTCGAAAGGCTGGATTTAGTTGCACATATTCTGGATGTACTTGAAAGACCTTAAAAAAATGAACAAGATGAAGTCTTTCCTCTTCGATGATCTTAGAATCAGTAATTACCTGAGGGTAATTTAACAGCTCCTTTATTACATCTGGACGCACCAAGCCGACCTGCTGGCCATCCACTACGAATGCCCTGCATTCACCTGAGTGGAAACCTAAAACATTGCAGAAAATATAAGAATTTGACACCTGCAGTGGATATTCCAAGTTAACAAAACATGACTATATACTTCTCCTTTTCTTCTACACACACACACACGCGCGCACGCACGCACGCACGCACACACGCACACACCATCACATAATCTACATTCATTCCTCACCACAATGGGAAAAAAAAATAAAATACACAAAAGGAGAACGCGGTTGTCAAAGGAAAAAAATCAAACAAGATACACTAATTTTTTGTTCGAATATAAAAAAATTCGTATAATTACTTCGGGAATATATGTATAATATTATCTATATTCGTAGGCGCGTCGCGTAATATTTGCATTATCGTCTATATTATCCAATTAATTACACAAGATATATTTTCGGCATCTAGTTTGACAAATATATGTATACAATCAGCCACTCAAAATATTTATTAAGGGAAAAGGGAGGGTTCGGACGTTGGACGGGGGTGAAAGCTCGCTCGGATCGAATTTTCGCGGTAATCGCGTTGTTTTCGATGGTAAAACCGGGGTTACTTCGATTATTTTGTTAATAATACGAGAAAGAATACACAACAGACTCCAAATCAATATCTCAGTAGACAGGTCGGAAAGCAACCCGTGTCTACGTTCTATTCACCCCAGATTTGGACAAGCGGGACCAGCCATAATCGACGCGCACTTAAAACAAACGATTCCACTTACCCGACAGGTAGAAGCAGTTGAATTTGTTGGCGAGCTTTAATACGCGTGACATCAGTTTCTTATCACTATCCGTCATGATGTTTCGCTGTCGTTAGCCAGCTGTGACAAAAAATGCTGGCATAGAGCACAAGAATATGTCAGATAGGAGCTTCAAGAGCTTTCTGCGTAACGATCTGCAGCAGAAAACGAGTCCGGTGTTGAGAATAAAGTGACCGATGATTGGTTAGGTACTGTATGCTCAAATTCATCGAATTTCTCGCAGATAAAACGATAAGATAACGGGGACCGTTCGTTGAATTATCGGCGAGTTGCAAAATAGCTGAACGAAGTTGAAAGTAGTGTTTGATCAGTCGCGATTTCAAATATTCACAGATGGCCGTGTGTAATCGTGGATCAGCGGGATTATCGTGTGAAATGCATTCTTGAAATGCCAAATTGACAATTAATTGATGGACTGGAAGGGTTCTATCAACGTTATGCATAACAAGAATATTAGGAACAATGAAGAACAAGGTTGGAGTGGAATAATATGAAATGATATTGGTTTTCAGGAATAGTTATAGTATAGTAGTATTGCATAGTATCATAATAGTTATGTCAAGGAATCGGAAGTCATCGAATTGTTGTTTGTTTTCATTGTATTTTGCAAGTTATCGAGGACGCTGAAACAAGTTATCAGTCGAGTCCAGTTTCGGATCGACCATTTTGTTCCAGCAGATGACGCATAGTGTCTGTGTTGGGAAGTGTCGCATGTTGGCTGCGTAGCTCCTCGAATTTATAAGAAAAATGAAGGTAAAAAAGGCTGCTAAAGTAGCAGCGACCTTAGAATCTGAACCTGAAAGTGACAGCTCCGACGATGAAGTAAGTAGACACATTAATTTTATACAATAAGTTATTCTAACATCTTACGTTCATTCTAACCTCATTTTTTTTCACACGTGTCTAGTTACGGGAAGCTTTTGCACAAGGTATACTAAAGCCTGGTTTGAACAAAGTGATCGAAGATACAAATAGAAAATTAAAAAATTCCGTGGTAAGTACGTGAAAATAAGAAACAAGCATAATTGTGCGAACCGAATTATGTTGTAATGTATTTATGATCTGACAACATTGTAGTTCATCTATGTAGTGTTTACACTTCGTTGTAATTTAATTAGACATATTTAAACGTTGGAATTTATTTATTTAATTTTAACTGCATTCATCGGTGCAATTGGATTGTGATGTAATTAAAGTAGAAAGTAATTCTAATGTCATTAAAGTACAATGTAGCAGTTCATATCTTCATTATTGATTAATGTTTTATTAGTTATTGATCGAAAGTATAATTTATTAACATTTTCTACTAGACAATGTATTAAATTGTTGTAATGCGTAGTATGTGGGTTCAGTTAATTCTGTTACAAAAAGAACTTTTAGTTCAACCTAATATTTCGTTTCACTTCGAAATTAATTAATCTTGTAATAAATTATGAGGATCGCCATTATCCTTTCCATTAAATATATATATATATCGTAAATTGAGTAAAGTAGATTTCATTGTTTAAATATATATCTGAATTACAAATTACAGTGTAATTGAAAGCAGCATGATTTAATTACATTGCAATTATAATTCATTGAATAATTCGATTGTATTACTGCACAACTCTGGAGCCAGTATTGAAATCTGTTCCAGAACCTAATGAAACAGAAACTAGACGCGATTAAATTACGTTTGCCATGGATAGAGAGATTAGACATGATAAATGTACTGGCACCGTTGGCTCCAGAGCTAGCAAAGCAAATGCAAGAACAGGAGCTCAGGCGTTCGAACGAGCTGAAGGGGAACAAGAAGTTACCTCAGTACGATCCTGCTGAGGATCCTGTCTTGAATGACTTCAGGAGGGAAACAATGTTTCACAGACAGGCACAGGGTGCTGTCATGGAGGGTGTTACAAGGTTGAAGAAGCTTGGTCTGCCGATAATCAGGCCAGATGACTATTTTGCTGAAATGGCAAAGACAGACGCACACATGCACAAGGTCAGGGAGAACCTGATGAGGAAACAAATGATAACCCAGAGATCGGAGAAGGTCAGACAGCTGAGGCAGCAGAGAAAGGTGGCCAAGCAAATGCACGTCGAGGCGACCCTGAAGAAGCACGCGGAGAAGAGGAAAATGTTGGAGGAAGTGAAAAAGTATCGCAAGGGTGTCAGGCAGGACCTCGACTTCTTGGACGACAAGAAGAAGCCTCAGCGCAAGATGGACCACCACGCTCTAGCCAAACGAAAGCAGAAGGACTCGAAATACGGTTTCGGTGGCAAGAAGCGTGGCACCAAAAAAAACACGAGGACGAGTTCCATGGACGTGTCGGAGTACAAAAGGCCGCCGAAACCGGGCAAAGATTTCAAACGTAAGGGGGGGAAGCCGAATCAGAGATTGGGCAAACAACGCAGGGTTCAGATGAAGGCGAAAAAGAGGCGGCAGTAGATCTTAAGATAAACTAAGTCCACCTGTACACACTTGTTTCTATGACTGACTCGAGCATTTTTAATAAAATCGTTACTCCAGCGAATCAATTATTTCATAGGTACTTACGTCCACCGAAATATTTTCCGATCCCGTTTGCGCGACGTGTAACGAACGAACAATTGCGGACTGCAACGACAAAAGAATTTTATCGCGAGCGTAACGATGTTCAAGGCTATCAGCAGCGTGAATAGAATTTATATGAATGACATAGTGCCATCTATGAGAAGTTGTTGTTGGCACACGCGTCCGACAAAAATTAGTTCGCGGATTTTAGCGTTAAATCGTGTTACCTTAGAGCGTCAGATACGAGGAGCTGTCAGGTGATGCAGATATCGCGGTAATATAACTCCTTGATATCGCCGATACAGCAGGGGTTACTTAACATGTGTCGCCCATTAGATAATCCTCTGCACCTACACGGCTGGTTACATGCACAGAAACGCGATTACGCCGCACATTACACGCATAATCGCGCTTGCCGTCGACGTGCGCGCGATCTCGCTTTCTTTTCCTCAATACGTCAAGTTTCCGACTCAAGTACTCACCGGATCCTCCAAAAGAAATCGCAAGATTTCGGTCATTCAGTTCACGAAATCAAAATCAGAAAGCTAAAATTTACCGTAGGAAATATTAGTTAAATTCTCTTGTATTCCAAAAATCCTGACAGCATCCAGTTTGCCCAGTATACAATATTATTAATATAAATTTTGAAACCTAGTTAAAAAATTAGTGTCACTCACGCGTGTCAGCACTGCTCCTAACTTACTGGAACACCAGTAAAATGATTCTCTCTGAAATGAAACAATTATTCCAACTTAAAACCTATGAAACGATTCGTAAGTGTATCGCACTTATCGAGGGACTTGACATTTATAAGATTTCTAAATACAAATACTAAGAGAGGGAGATAAGATTAGATATAGACGACCGTGTGAAAATTTCAGAGATTTTCTATCCTCTGCGGTCGAACTTCCGAAAGTACCGAGGCGGAGCTGGACAGCCCCGAGGACCTCCTCGACGATCCAAAATGCCAATGTCGGAGAATTTTCAAAATAATTTCGCGCGCATAGTTGTCGAAGCGATAGACCGTCGTAGACATCTCGAGTGGGTGGTCATCAGAATATGGGTGTGTAACACGCGTGATCGGGTCTCGAATGTGTACATGTTATTTGGCGAGTGGAAATACCACTGATCGAATCGCGCGTATGGCGCCGGTTCCTCTCCATTCGTGTGTAGCCGCGCGCATGTGGCCGTGTATATTTTTTACAATAGCCCCGGGTTATTGTATTTAAATCCAGGAGTGCTCTCGCATTGTCCTCCGTTCTGTCTGACGCGGACACGAGAGCCCTGGGAATCTGCTCTCCAGGTAACAGCTGTTTTAGAGGGAACCGTGGACGCGTTTTCCACATTTTTATCCGGCACCGCTCCACCAATTACGTGACCGACGGTGGGATCGGTGTTGGTACGCGTACGCGTCCCTCGTTGAACCCCACCCCCACCCCGAGCAATTTTGATTTTTCGCTTGTAACCAAACAAACTTCGGCCCGGCGAACTTCACGTCTTGCCCGGCGAAACTGTCTGCTTACCATTAAAAAAATTACACGCCGGAAGTTAGTGCCGCTAACAAGTCTCCTACCGCTTCCCCCCTCCCCCCAACCACCGCCGCCGCCACGGTAAACGGTCGTTAAAAACTTTCCGCCAACTGTTTCTCGTTATTCGAGTATGGAAAGCGGAACTGCCGATACCAATCGAAGCCTCGAGACGAGAATCTGGTTTACAAGGCTACGAACACTGCGATGGAACTTGAATGCGTTAAACGGATGAAGGTTACGCCGGGCTCGCTGACTTCTAAAAATCAACGCTCCGCTGGAAACCTCATCGGACACCTAGAAAATTTTCATGCGTGCATGTCCAAGGAAACACGACCGTCGATTCTACCTTAAAGTAGAAACTTCAATAAGTGCTCCACAATTTTTTGGAATTTTTTTAAAACCTAGAACGATAAAGGAGTCACCGTTTGATGCCGTCGAGAAAAATGGTTTGTTTATAAATTAAAGAACCGTGCATGGGAGATTGCATGCGTGAGAAATTTCGTCTGGGTCGCGATAGACCCCGGCATGCCACGATTTAGGAGTTCGTCAAGCACGCCTCGGTTCTCGTCGCGCAAAGTTTATCGTCAGCTCGTGAATATGTGAAAAATGCCGGGAATCCTTCAACGTGCAAATACATCGCCAGCCCGTCAAACCATTATCATGCTAAAATCCGCAGATTTCGGTTTCGCTGTACCGTGCATGACTGATCGACGTTTTGCCCGAATGCGAATCTACGCTTTTCAAGCATTAAACGCCGTGAAATGTTCATCATCTTTTTTTTTTCCACCGGTTCAGCGCGGGAACATTTCTCCACTGTTACGTTCGAGTTCCGTTTATCGAAAAAACAATACTAAACCGGTGGTAGCTGAAACAAAATCTATCGTTGCAGAAGATATGTTTGCTAACGAAGTCCAATTGTCTCTATTTATTATATCGTTATTCGATATACTAGCGAAATGTTTTCAACTCGACACAATTTTTAATAAGCTTTGTTCTGGCAATAAACGTTTTTTAACATTGATGGCGTAAGTTGTAGTTGCAATTCTAGTTTTAGTTGTTGTTTTAATTCCAGCCGTTGTTCTAGGTCTCTAATTCCAGTTGTGGTCATAGTTCTAGATCTAGTTGCAGCTGCAGTTTTAATTCCAGTTGTAGTTACGATTTTTATTCTGTTCGTTTAGTTCTATTTATAGTTGCAGTTCTAATTCTGATTCTAGTAGTTGCAGTTCTAATTCTGATTCTAATAGTTGCAGTTCTAATTCTGCTTGTAGTTGCAAGTCTAATTCTCGTTGTAATCGTAGCTAAATTCTAGTTGTAGTTGTAAGTCTAATTCTCGTTGTAATTGCACTTCTAATTCTAATCGTAGTTGTAAGTCTAATTCTCGTTGTAGTTGCAGTTCTAATTCAAGCTGTAGTTGCACTTCTAATTCTAATCGTAGTTGTAAGTCTAATTCTCGTTGTAATTACACTTCTAATTCTAATTGTAGTTGTAAGTCTAATTCTCGTTGTTGTTGCACTTTTAATTCCAGTTGCAATTGTAAGTCTAATTCTTGTTGACGTTGCAATTGTAAGTCCAATTCTTGTTGTAGTTGCAATTATAATTCTAGTTCTAGTTGCAGTTACATTTCTAATGTTATGGTTGCAGTTGTAGCTTTAGTTTTAGTTTTAGTTCTCATTGAGGTTGTAGGTCTAATTCTAGTTGTAGTCACGGTTTTAATCCCGGTTTTAGTCCCGGTTCTAGTTGTAGCCCAAGTTCTAGCTCTAATCGTAGTTCTATTTCCAGTTAAAGTTTTTCTTTGCATTTTCGTTTAAATTAATCCCACATTAGGTCCGACAAGCTGGGCCTAAATAGGGTTCTAATAAAATCCAGATTAGAGCTGTCTATTTCCGCCCGCGCAAACGTAAAACGTTTAAAAAGTCCGCGAACCTGTCATTTCGATCTGCCCTGGAGCTCCAAGCGAAAATCTTGGACCGGGGATAGCACCTCGGTGCCTATAATTGAGACGAATGCGACGTTGTCGGGGCCATCGTGGAGGTGCAGGGCGCCAGTATAGGGAACACGGAGTTTTGTGAAACTGGAATTGGTCGGATCGCCTGTAGGCAATAGCGAAACAAATTTCACCCATTAGCAGCCGGCGAAAGATACATGTCACGCCGCGGTTGTCATCAATACAGATATCTGCGCGCGATATCTGTCCATGCTCCTGCCGGCTGGATTCACTATGCCGAGCGCTGCGCGCTCCCCCCCGCCCCCCTCCTCGCCACTCCCGCATTCGAAAAAGCTCCAATTTGCTCGACGGGCTGCAGGCTGGTCTCGCCTACGCGTATACCCTAACTATAATACAAACATGACGTTTCAGGTGGCGCTAACGTTCGAGCCCCGGTGACAAAGGTCGGCGCATTGTCAAACTTCGTCGTGTCCGGCAGTTCGAATTCCGGTTGATCAATAATCGTGACAACATCGGCCCAGGTCTCGATGTCTTTCCATTAGAACCGTCAGGCGATCCCTCCAGTTTGCCGTTCCGCAATTGTCGTTGGTCACATTTCTTTACCATCTCTACGAGCACTTCGATGCGATACAGAGTCACCAAGAGAGACAGCAGTTTTGATTTTTCTCTTCTCTGATTCACTCGCGATCTAAGCGCAAGTAGAACTTGGATTACAACTTAGATTACAACTACGATTAGATCTGCGACTAGAACTACAACCACAGGTACAACTGTAACTGTAATTTTATTTATTTATTTTAGGTGTAATTTTATTATATTTTATTTAGTTCCACAGTAATTTCTCTCTAATTCGCGCTCCGATTGCGCACAAAAATGGACAATTTAAGAAGACGAGATACGATTATTGGAGCCTTGTGTCTTGTTTATTGACGATCACGCGTTTTTGTTGACAATCGGTAACTATAAAAAGTCGTATCTTCTCTTCCCAAATTGTCCACTTTCCTCGCGCAATCTGAGCGCGAATTACGGAGAAATGACTGTGGGACTAGATAAAAGATAATAAAATTACCCGAAACAAATAAATAATATTACAACCGCATCCAACAGCTACAGCTAGAAACCTTATTGCAACTATAACTGCAACCACATCCATAACCGCAAACACAAGCCAGAAGTTATTAATTTCGTCCGAAAGTCCCCGCTTTGATCGAACACCATGGTGAATCGACGTGTACACCGTTACTTCGCCTGTTGGGACGTCTTTGCGTGTAGCCGGCTATTTTTCGAGGTTCCTGGTCGCGTTTGATGCTCGACTCGCAGGATCGTTCACGGATTATTCCGAACGGGGGTAAAAGGATCTCGGGAATGCCGTGTTGTGCAGTGGCCGGCCCCGGGAGATACCAATTCCTCGGTTCAAATTGCGCTTGAACGTAAGACGAGGCGGCGGCGGACGGGGGTCCCGCTTTTTCCACGGGCCATCTTTTCCAGCAGGTTGCTAACCCTCGGCCGGCGCGCACAGGCTCCGGGGGGTGGCCGGGGCTTGTAACGACTTTTCCGAGAAACATAAAATCGTGCGCTTAGCTGGCAGTCGGCACGTGGCCTGTGTTAGGCCGC